TACATAATATGACATTTGAAATGTCTTTATTCTTTTGAAACTTCTGAGTGTAATGTTTACTGTTAATATTTATTGTTTATTTCACTTTTGTTTACTATCTACTTCACTTGCTTTGGCAATGTTAACATATGTTTCCCATGCCAATAAAGCCCTTAAATTGAAATTGAATTGAGAGAGAGAGAGAGAGAGAGAGAGAGAGAGAGGAGAGAGAGAGAGAGAGAGAGGAGAGAGAGAGAGAGAGAGAGAGAGAGAGAGAGAGAGAGAAAGGAGAGAGAGAGAGAGAGGAGAGAGGAGAGAGAGAGAGACAGAGAGAGAGAGAGAGGGAGTGTGTGAGAGACAGAGAGAGACAATGACCCAACACACCTCCAGGCCTTGTAAGGGCTATTTTTACCAAGAAGGAGAGTGATGGTTTGCTGCATCAGAGGACCTGGCCTCCACAATTCTCCGACCTCAACCAAATTGAGATGGTTTGGGACGAGTCGGACCGCAGAGTGAAGGAAAAGCAGCCAACAAGTGCTCAGCATTTGTGGGAACTCCTTCAAGACTGTTGGAAAAGCATTCTAGGTGAAAGCTGGTTGAGAGAATACCAATGAGTGTGCAAAGCTGTCATCAAGGCAAAGGGTGGCTTTTTGAAGAACCTCAAATATAAAATATATTTTGATTTGTTTAACACTTTTTTGGTTACTACATGATTCCAGCCAACTTGACACAGCTGTGGGAAGCATTGGAGTCAACATGGGCCAGCATCCCTGTGGAACGCATTCGTCACCTTGTAGAGTCCATGCCCTGACGAATTGAATCTATTCTGAGGGCAAAAGGGGCTGCAACGCAATATTGGGAAGGTGTTCTTAATGTTTTGTCCAGTCAGTGACATTTATGGAGATAGCGTGCCCTCTAGTGGTAGACTTGCCACTCTACACCCTGGAATTGCGACGTCAGATGGAGCCTTGTTGTACGTTAGCGCACTCCGTTCTACAGCTCTTGGAGGTCTGCATCGTCGTGCTTGCCTTGTAATCATTGGTGGTTCAAGCCCCACTGTTTATTATAAAGGCTGGAAGGATAGTGTGTGTATCTAAAATTACATCAAGATCATCATGTGAATTGAATCTAGCAAACTCGCCAGCTAGCTTAGTTAGATATCTTCATCAGAGTGTTTTTCTTCATTAGCTTGTCAGCTAGCTAGCATTAGTTATCTTCATTAGCTTGTCAGCTAGCTAGCATTAGTTATCTTTATTAGCTTGTCAGCTAGCTAGCATTAGTTATCTTTATTAGCTTGTCAGCTAGCTAGCATTATCCTTTGATGACTTCTGTAATCGCAAAAGTCTTGGTTTCTTGCACATAAATATCAGAAGTCTACTTCCTAAGTTTGAGTTATTCACTGCGTTAGCACACTCTGCCAACCCTGATGTTCTAGCAGTGTCTGAATCCTGGCTCAGGAAGGCCACCAAAAATTCTGAAATTTCCATCCCCAACTATAACATTTTCCGTCTAGATAGAACTGCCAAAGGGGGTGGAATTGCAATCTACTGTAGAGATAGCCTGCAGAGCTCCATCATACTATCCAGGTCTGTGCCCAAACAGTTTGAGCTTCTACTTCTAAAAATCCACCTTTCCAGAAATAAGTCTCTCACTGTTGCCGCTTGCTACAGACCCCCTCAGCCCCCAGCTGTGCCCTGGACACCATATGTGAATTGATTGCCCCCCCATTTATCCTCAGAGTTTCTACTGCTTGGTGACCTAAATTGGGATATGCTTAATACCCCAGCCATCCTACAATCCAAGCTAGATGCCCTCAACCTCACGCAAATTATCAACGAACCTACCAGGTACAACCCTAAATCCGTAAACATGGGTACCCTCATAGATATCATCCTGACTAACATACCCTCTAAATACACCTCAGCTGTCTTCAACCAGGATCTCAGCGATCACTGCCTTATTGCCTGCGTCCGTAACGGGTCCGCGGTCAAACGACCACCCCTCATCACTGTCAAACGCTCCCTAAAACACTTTAGCGAGGAGGCCTTCCTAATTGACCTGGCCCAGGTATCCTGGATGGATATAGATCTCATTCCGTCAGTAGAGGATGCCTGGTTGTTCCTTAAAAGTAATTTCCTCTCAATCTTAAATAAACATGCCCCATTCAAAAAATACAGAACTAAGAACCGATATAGCCCCTGGTTCTCCTCAGACTTGACTGCCCTTGACCAGCACAAAAACATCCTGTGGCGTACAGCATTAGCATCAAATAGCCCCCGTGATATGCAACTTTTCAGGGAAGTTAGGAACCAATATACACAAGCAGTCAGGAAAGCAAAGGCTAACTTTTTCAAACAGAAATTTGCATCCTGTAGCACTAACTCCAAAAAGTTTTGGGACACTGTAAAGTCCATGGAGAATAAGAGCACTTCCTCCCAGCTGCCCACTGCACTGAGGCTAGGAAACACTATCACCACCGATAAATCTACAATAATCGAGAATTTCAACAAGCATTTTGCTACAGCTGGCCATGCTTTCCATCTGGCTACCACTAACCCGGCCACCAACTCTGCACCCTCTGCTGCAACTTGCCCATGCCCCCCCCCCGCTTCTCCTTCACACAAATTCAGACAGCTGATGTTTTGAAAGCGCTGCAAAATCTGGACCCCTACAAATCAGCTGGGCTAGACAATCTGGACCCTTTCTTTCTAAAACTAGCCGCCAAAATTGTCGCAACCCCTATTACTAGTCTGTTCAACCTCTCTTTCATAACGTCTGAGATCCCCAGAGATTGGAAAGCTGCCGCGGTCATCCCCCTCTTCAAAGGGGGTGACACTCTAGATCCAAACTGCTACAGACCTATATCCATCCTGCCCTGCCTTTCGAAAGTATTCGAAAGCCAAGTTAACAAACAGATCATCGACCATTTCGAATACCACCGTACCTTCTCCGCTATGCAATCCGGTTTCCGAGCTGGTCACGGGTGCACTTCAGCCACGCTCAAGGTCCTAAACGATATTATAACCGCGATTGATAATAGACAGTACTGTGCAGCCGTCTTCATCGACCTGGCCAAGGCTTTCGACTCTGTCAACCACCGCATTCTTATTGGCAGACTAAATAGCCTTGGTTTCTCAAATGACTGCCTCGCCTGGTTCACCAACTACTTCTCAGATAGAGTTCAGTGTGTCAAATCGGAGGGCCTGTTGTCTGGACCTATGGCAGTCTCTATGGGGGTGCCACAGGGTTCAATTCTTGGGCCGACACTTTTCTCCGTGTATATCAATGATGTCGCTCTTGCTGCTGGTGACTCTCAGATCCACCTCTACGCAGACGACACCATTTTGTATACATCTGGCCCTTCATTGGACACTGTGTTAACAAACCTCCAAACGAGCTTCAATGCCATACAACAATCCTTCAGTAGCCTTCAACTGCTCTTAAACACTAGTAAAACTAAATGCATGCTTTTCAATCGAACGCTGCTAGCACCCGCCCACCCGACTAGAATCACCACTCTCGACGGGTCTGACCTAGAGTATATGGACAACTACAAATATCTAGGTGTCTGGTTAGACTGTAAACTCAACTTCCAGACTCACATAAAGAATCTCCAATCCAAAGTTAAATCTAGAATCGGCTTCCTATTTCGCAACAAAGCCTCCTTCACTCATGCTGCCAAACATGCCCTCGTAAAACTGACTATCCTACCGATCCTTGACTTCGGCGATGTCATTTACAAAATAGCCTCCAACACTCTACTCAGCAAATTGGATGTAGTCTATCACAGTGCCATCCGTTTTGTCTCCAAAGCCCCATACACTACCCACCACTGTGACCTGTACGCTCTTGTTGGCTGGTCCTCACTACATGTTCGTCGTCAAACCCACTGGCTCCAGGCCATCTATAAATCACTGCTAGGCAAATCCCCGCCTTATCTTAGCTCATTGGTCACCATAGCAACACCCACCCGTAGTCTGCGCTCCAGCAGGTATATCTCTCTGGTCATTCCCAAAGCCAACACCTCCTTTGGCCGCCATTCCTTCCAGTTCTCTGCTGCCAATGACTGGAACGAATTGCAAAAATCTCTGAAGCTGGAGACTCTTATCTCCCTCAATAACTTTAAGCATCAGTTGTCAGAGCACCTTACCGATCACTGCACCTGTACACAGCCCATCTGAAATTAGCCCACCCAACTACCTCATCCCTATATTGTTATTTATTTTGCTCTTTTGCACCCCAGTATCTCTATTTGCACATAATCTCTTGCACATCTAGCATTCCAGTGTTAATACTATTGTAATTATTCTGCACTATAGCCTATTTATTGCCTTACCTCCATAACTTGCTACATTTGCACACACTGTATATATATTTTCTGTTGTATTTCTGACTTTATGTTTTTTTTTTACCCCATATGTAACTCTGTGTTGTTTTTATTGCACTACTTTGCTTTATCTTGGCCAGGTCGCAGTTGTAAATGAGAACCTGTTCTCAACTGGCTTACCTGGTTAAATAAAGGTGAAATAAAACAAATAAAAAAAATAACAAGTGGTTTGCTAGTTCAAATGAAGCATAACTGACAAAGGAAAGGTGTGACTATTATCGACTTTTATTCATCATAAGCATTAGAACATTACAAGTGAAAAGGGTTTCCCCCCCACAAATTAACAACAAAAAATACGGTAGGACACTATTTGTTTTAATAATTGAAAATTTTATCTTACTTGAAGAAGAAAAACACCAATGATATTAGGTAAAGCTAAGAAAGTTAATAAGCAAACTGATAGCAAACTTATTTTAGCAACATATCTGCAGTCAGTGGCCCACTTCACATTTTGCTCAATATTTTTCTAGCTGGGTAGGCATGTAGCTATATGCAAGTAAATTAGCTGAGTTTCTAATTATAAGATGTATTAGCATTTGTCAATAACTTTAAGTCGTGTTTATATCACAACATTTCTGATAAAGTTCAGAACATATACTGTAGGTTAAAGGTTATTACATTTAGTTTATGTCTGTCACTGTCTCTCCACCCCGGTGAGGATTGGGTTCTCCTCAGCAGGGCAGTCCCTGGTCTCCAGAGCCACCTGTAGTTTCTGCCAGAAGACCCCGGTGTACTCCCCTGCTCTGGGCCAGCTCAGGTAGGTCTGTCTCTTCAGCAGCCTCCTCATGCGGTGGTAGGGAGAGAGCTGCTGGTCTGGGATCTCCTCCAGAAACACCAGGATCAACACATCCTTCTGCTCATCAAACAGACGGAAGCTGGAGAGTAAAGTAGAAAGTCATTATGAAGTACGGTATATGTGTGTATGAGTGTACACGTGTACTGTATAGGTAATTGAAGATTGTCGGACCCACCTGGCCACCTGTATCTCTCTGGAGCACCACTCACTCTCCAGATAGTTTTGGCTGATCACACAGATGGTCTTGCGGCTCCCGTAGATGGCGTCTGTGATGTTTTCTATGATGGGTTTGCCTGGCTGGAAGTCCCGGTGGTGCAGACACAGCCTCCAGCCCTGCTTCCCCTCCAGCTCTGGCAGCAGCTCCCTCAGGACCCAGGGCTCATCGTGGGTGTTGTAGGAGACGAAGGCGTCGTACTGATTAGCTGCACGCCTGTTCCTCCGCTTGGTGTCGTAGAGATAAGCCAGGAAGAGGTAGTAGACATAGACAACTTGCCATCTCAGGAGATGGTAGATGAAGGACGCCAGCAGGGTGAGGAGGACCAGAGAAGTGGTGGACAGGAAGTAGAAGAAGCCTATGTCCACTGAACACGGACGGGTGTCAAGGTCCAACAGTTTAGTGCCCCTCAGATTGTCTGGATAGCTGCAGTTAGAGTCATGGGCATCACCAACTTGCGTTTGGTTGTTGTCCTCCACCCAACGGATGAACCAAGCATTTCTACAGTCACATATGAAAGGGTTATTGTTAATTTTCAAGGATGTTAAGGCAGGGAGAGAACGTATCACTGTCTCATTGATTTCTCTAATCTGGTTGTTTCCCAACAGCAAAAATGCAACTTGAGATAGATTGGCTAGTATGAGGAAATCCAAAGACTGAAGTTGGGATTTGGACAGATATAGTCTGCTGAGTTTTGGCATTGGGAAAAACAGCTCTGGAGCGAGGGTTGAGAACACATTGCTGCTGATGTCAAGGTACCTCAACTGGGGGGTGTGAATGAATGTGTCTGGGTGCAGAGACTTAATATTCAGATACCCTGCCCTGAATTCTGATAAAGATTTCAGACCCTCAAGAAAGTTTGATGGTATATTATCCATCCGTTGGCTGAAGATATATAGAATCTTGAGCGATGTCAGGTGATAGAAGGGTGGAGGGTGGAGCTTCTCATCTGTTTCATATTTGATATGATTGGAAGAAATAATGAGGCTGGTTAAGCATGTTAGTCCTCTGAACACCCGGTCTCTAGTTTCAGTTTGAGTGATTCTATTTGCTGAAAGAGTAAGGCTTCTAAGGTTGACCATCACCTCAAATGCTCCATCTTCTATGCTGCTAATTTGATTGTTGAATAAAAGCAATTCCTTGAGGGATTGTAAGCTTTTAAAGTCTTCTTTTCTGACAGAACTAAGTTTATTGCCTCGCAAATCCAAGAGCTCTAGTTTTTGCAAACCGTCCTTGAAAGCATCACTCAAGGCCAGGATTTGGTTTGTTCCGATTTTAAGGACCTTTAAGGACTTCAAATCCTGGAAAACACAACTTTCGAGTTGAGGGATTATGTTTTTGTAAAGGAAGAGTTGTATGAGTCCAGTAAGATTGGCAAAATCCGAGCAGCCTAGTTTATTGATTCTATTGAAGCTGAGATCCAGGACTTCCAGAGTGGGGAGATTCCTTATGGCTTTTGGCACAGATGAAAGCATGTTGTGTCCCAATTCCAGATTTCTCAGCTGCTTCATTGTCCGGAATGAAGAGTCAGACAGATCGATCAGATTCATATATTGCATTCCCAGATCTGTCACCTGGGTGCAGGACTGCAGAAGTTCCGCAGAAACAAAACTGATGTTGTTATATCTAAATTGGAGCATTCTCAGTGTAGGTATGTGGCAGGCAATATTGGTGAGAACCTTTGTATGGGCAGACATCTCTATTCCTAAATGAGAAAGTATCAGAGATTCTAACAGGGAGTCGAAGCTCCGCAGCAACATGCTCATACCCTCCAGAGACATGTGGATTCCACTCATGTCAAGACTCGACACGTTCCTCAGAAAAGACCTGTCTGCCACATCCCATTGCATGCTTCCATTATGGCCACAGTAGGCTAGGTTTAACTTCTGAAGGTTTGGAAAAACACTTGCTGTGACGATGAAGATGTCCAATGGATTCCCAGACACATCAAGCACTCTCAGCCCTATGGAATTGTTTGATATTTCCCTTGATCGAAAACTGGTAAATCCATTCCTCCCAATGTACATCGTCTGTAAATGTGGTAATTGTATAATGGGCTGAACCTTCTTTAGACAATGCAGTTTATTGTTCGATAAGTTCACTACATGTAATCCAGAGAGAGGCTGAAAGGATGACGACCCAATAGTTGTGATCAGGTTGTTATTCAGATGTAGCGCCGAGAGGTTGGCCAGGCCCTGGAACATGTGGTCTGAAATGGTGGTGATTTTGTTATGCCCCAGGTCTAGCCCCTGCAGAGCCACAAGGCATAGGAATGCTCCGTCTTCAACACGAGAGATCACGTTACTGGACGCGTTCAAGAATTTGAGGACCGATAGATCTTTAAAGTCAAACACTTCGATTTTTGAAATTGAATTAATAGAAACGTCTAAAGATCTGACTATCGGTGGAATGTCTTCTGGTATGGTTAGGAGGTTCCTGTTATCACAGAGTACTTTCATGTTAACAGTGACGTTGGAATCATATATTCTGCAGTGTTTCAGTGAGTATCCCCTTACTGGATCAACAAGGACCCAGACATACAGCAGAAAGCAGAAACAGACCGCAGAAAAATACCCACTTTCCCTTCCTGGTGTGGTCATCTTGAGTTTCAGGATCTTCCTCATTAAGGCTAACGTTTAACTGATAGGTGTCTTCAGTTTATACTTCAGATCTAAAGTAGACAAAAAGAGACACATACTTTAAGGTGTTTGAGAGACATTCAGTGCCTTGAAAACTATTCACCATCTTGTTTTTACTGATCTACACAACTTTTCCTCAAGTAGTTTTTCTTTCAGTGTTAAAAGAGTACCGATACACAGTATCAAAAGCAAACGTGTAATATTTGAACTACCTCTACACATAATCCAATGTCTTCATATACCTTACAAAACATTTGCTGTATCATGGTAGAAAATGTGTTTACACAGGCAGCCCAATTCTGATATTTCGGCCAATTATGGGTAAAAGAGCTGATCTGATTGGTCAAAAGACCAATTAGTGAAAAAAGATCCACATTGGGCTGCCTGTGTAAACATAGCCTAAAGCTTTATGCTAACATACACACAAACTAGAGGAGAGGAGGTAGACAGAGGTAGACAGAGGTAGACAGTAGACAGAGGTAGACAGAGGTAGACAGAGGTAGACAGAGGTAGGCAGAGGTAGACAGAGGTAGACAGAGGTAGACAGAGGTAAATGTTGGTAAAAGCAATATTCTCGAAGAGAGATAACATTGTCTGGACAAAGACACTACATCACACAGGAGATAAGCAAGGTAAAACAGCAATGTAGATAAAATATCTTAAATAGTATGGATTTTTTTACTCACATTTGTCAGAAGAAGTCAAATCATCTTTTGTAGAGCGCTTTCCCCAACAGCACAGGACTGTGGTTAGGGACAGATAGCTGTAGCTTTGCCTGGTTCAATAAAGGAACACCATATTTGTGTTAATATATAAATAATCTGAATGAGGAACTGAGAAAGAGTTAGAGAACAAACATAGACTGTCATGCCCTGGCTCTGGGACTCTGTTATGTTGAGCCAGGGTGTGTAGTTTCTATGTGTTTGTGTTCTGTGTTTAAGTTCTAGTTCATGTGTATCTATGTTGGCCGGGGTGGTTCTCAATCAGAGGCAACGTGAATCAGCTGTTGCTTGTTGTCTCTGATTGGGAACCATACTTAGGCAGCCGTTTGGCAGTAGTGTATTGTGGGATCTTGTTCCGTGTTGGTTTGTGTAGGTAACCAAGGACTTCACGTTATCGTTTTGTTTCGTGTGGTGAAATAAATAAAGTATGTTCACTTATCGCGCTGCGCATTGGTCCACTTCCTTCAGCGATCGTGACATAGACGATCAGGTGATGAAAAACACAACACAATTCTAAGTGAGATTCAAAATCTCAGAGACAGTAATACTATTTTATATAACAAAGATTTATTATAAAAACAAGATAATACTACAGTATACAATGAAAGATTGTCAAATGATCAGCTAATGAAGTAATTAGCAAGGTAAGGGGCAGGTAGCGTTCTCCTGGCATCCACCAAACCTAGATTTGTCCGTCAGACTCCCAGATGGTGAAGCGTGATTCCTCACTCCAGAGAACGCGTTTCCACTGCTCCAAAGTCCAATGGCGGTGAGCTTAGGCTTGTGTGTGGCTGCTCTGAAGTTCCTGACGAACAGTTCTTGTGCTGACGTTGCTTCTAGAGGCAGTTTGGAAATTGGTAGTATTTGTATTTATTAAGGATCCCCATTACTCTTCCTGGGGTCCTGCAACATTAAGGCAGTTATATACAATTTAAAATATTACATAACATTATATTTCATAACACTTTACCTAAAACATTTAGTGTGTTCCCTCAGGCCACTACTCCACTATCACATATTTACAATACAACATCCATGTGTACGTGTGTGTAGAGTGAGTGTCTATATGTATGTGTTTATGTGCCTATGTTTGTGTTGCTTCACAGTCCCCACTGTTCCACAAGGTGTATTTGTACCTGTTTTATAAATCTGATTATACTGCTTGCATCAGTTACCTGATGTGGAATAGAGTTCCATGTAGTCATGGCTCTATGTAGTACTGTGCGCCTCCCATAGTCTGTTCTGGACTTGGGGATTGTGAAGAGACCTCTGGTGGCATGTCTTGTGGGGTATGCATGGGTGTCCGAGCTCGGTACATTCAGCTTGTCAACAACTCTTACAAAAACAAGTAGTGATGAAGTCAATCTTTCTTCCACTTTGAGCCATGAGAGATTGACATGCATGTCATTAATGTTAGCTCTACATGTACTTTTAAGGGCCAGCCGTGCTGACCTGTTCTGAGCCAACTGCAATTTTCCCAAGTCCCTCTTTGTGGCACCTGACCACACTACTGAACAGTAGTCTAGGTGCGACAAAACTGGAGCCTGTAGGATCTGCCTTGTTGATAATGTTGTTAAGAAGGCAGAGCAGCGCTTTATTATGGACAGACTTCTCCCCATCTTAGCTACTGTTGTATCAATATGCTTTGACCATGACAGTTTACAATCCAGGGTTACTCCAAGCAGTTTAGTCACCACAACTTGCTCAATTTCCACATTATTCATTACGAGATGTAGTTGAGGTTTAGGGTTTAGTGAATGATTTGTCCTAAATACAATGCTTTTAGTTTAGGAAATATTTAGGACTAACTTATTCCTTGCTACCCATTCCGAAACTAACTGCAGCTCTTTGTTAAGTTTTGCAGTTATTTCAGTTGCTGTAGTAGCTGACGTGTATAGTTTTGAGTCATCCGCATACATAGACACACTGGCTTAACTCAAAGCCAGTGGCATGTCGTTAGTAAATATGGAAAAAATAAAGGGGCCTAGACAACTGCCCTGGGGAATTTCTGATTCTACCTGGATTATGCTTGAGAGGCTTCCATTAAAGAACACCCTCTGTGTTCTGTTGGACAAGTAACTCTTTATCCACATTATAGCAGGGGGTGTAAAGCCATAACACATACGTTTTTCCAGCAGCAGGCTATGATCGATAATGTCAAAAGCTGCATTGAAGTCTAACAAGACAGCCCCCACAATCATTTTGTCATCAATTTCTCTTAGCCAATCATCAGTCATTTGGGTAAGTGCTGTGCTTGTTGAGTGTCCTTCCCTATAAGCATGCCGAAAGTCTGTTGTCAGTTTGTTCACTGTGAAATAGCATTGTATCTGGTCAAACACCATTTTATCCAGAAGTTACTAAGGGTTGGTAACAGGCTGATTGGTCAGCTATTTGAGCCAGTAAAGGGGGCTTTACTATTCTTGGGTAGCGGAATGACTTTAGCTTCCCTCCAGGCCTGAGGGCATACAGTGGCTTGCGAAAGTATTCACCCCCCTTGGAATTTTTCCTATTTTGTTGTCTTACAACCTGGAATTAAAATGGATTTTTTGGGGGGGGTTGTATCATTTGATTTACACAATATGCCTACCACTTTGAAGATGCAAAATACTTTTTTGTGTGAAACAAACAAGAAATAAGACAAAAAAACAGAAAACTTGAGCGTGCAACGTGCATAACTATTACAACTAGATAAAGCAAAGCAGTGCGATAAAAACAACAACAACACATAGTTACATATGGAATAAACGAAAACAAAACGTACAGTCAATAACACAATAGAACAATTTATATACAGTTTGTGCAAATGTAGTAAGTTATGGAGGTAAGGCAATAAATAGGCCATAGTGCAAAATAATTACAATTTAGTATTAACACTGGAGTGATAGATGTGCAGAAGATGATGTGTAAATAGAGATACTGGGGTGCAAATGAGCAAAATAAATAACAATGTAAATAACAATATGGGGATGAGGTAGTTGGGTGGGCTAATTACAGATGGGCTGTGTACAGGTGCAGTGATCAGTAAGCTTCTCTGACAACTGATGCTTAAAGTTAGTGAGGGAGATAAGTGTCTCCAGCTTCAGAGATTTTTGCAGTTCGTTCCAGTCATTTGCAGCAGAGAACTGGAAGGAATGGCGGCCAAAGGAGGTGTTGGTTTTGGGTATGACCAGTGAGATATACCTGCTGGAGCGCAGACTACGGGTGGGTGTTGCTATGGTGACCAATGATCTAAGATAAGGCGGGGATTTGCCTAGAAGTGATTTATAGATGACCTGGAGCCAGTGGGTTTGGCGACTAGTGAGGGCCAGCCAACGAGAGCATACAGGTCACAATGGTGGGTAGTGTATGGGGCTTTGGTGACAAAACGGATGGCACTGTGATAGACTACATCCAATTTGCTGAGTAGAGTGTTGGAGGCTATTTTGTAAATGACAT